GTAGGGTACGTAGGCAGCCTGAAGTTACTAGGTGCAGCCACAGATTAGACTCCACTTAGGGGTCTTATTAAGATTGGTTCGGACCTCGTTGTTGGTCTCGAAACTTGGTTGAATTGAGGCTTGTCCTGTGGACTAAGTGAGTGAAGGTGTGCATGAATAGATTTTGAATTTGTTATATGCATGTTTGATGCATTAAGTTATTTCAAAAACATTGTGGGCAGTTCTGCTAGAATCATTTGAGGGCCGGATGCCAGTTATGTAAATTGCATGAGACTATATTGTGCGTGCTGCCGGTTGGGTTATAAAATGTATTTTATACAGGTGGAAATTTTGAGAAATGTTAAATTTACAGGGGAGACTCTGCCGAAATTTCGGTAGAAAGTCTCATGCCCTAAACACTCTCTGGTAACAGAGGACATAGTTTTAAGGAGTGAATCCGGCGTGGGTATGATGCCAGGGTCTCCGCAGGGTTCGTCTCGAGTTCCGGGAAATTCGGGGCGAGTCCTGTCAGCTTATCTCCAAATCGATAATAACAAAAATAAACATATAAAATCAAGAAGAATTGGATCTACATTTCAAATTTAAACTCCAAAGCTGCAAAAATTATGAAAACTTAACCAGCAACTTAATTAATCAAACATAAAATCACCAAAATCAGACTACAATAAAATCGAAAAAGTCCCTACAATACCTATACCAACATATTCAGACTAACAAGGGGAGTAATTTTTGGTCTTGGACCCCGGCCAAAAAGTGGCCGAAGCAATCCGGAACACTGCCAAAGCCGTCGGTCAAACTAGGGTGTATTGATTAATTTTCAAAACTCCAAAATCTATCCTAACCACATACATAAACAGCTTGAGCACGAAAATTAGATAAAGTTTCATACCTCGATTGATGAAAGCAACAGCCGGAGTCGTCGGAAATGTCGTCGGAAAACTTGAAATCCACAGACTTTTTTGAGCTCGCAGCGGCATCGTCAATGGCTGATGTGGCTGGGCTTTAGCCCAGACTTGATCGTCGGCCCTGGCCGATCCTTTTCCGATCGCTGTCACTACTGGCTGTGGCCGGAGCACCAAGATTGTTGGCCTAGACTTGGTTTTTGCGAAGGGAGAGAGATGAGAGAGGGAGAGGGCCCAAAATTTTTCAAAAAAACTAATTTAATACTAAATGGATAATAAATGTATTTCATTTAAGTAATTAACCTAAAAAATATAATAGCTGTTAGTTTTGAGTATTTTTTAGGTGTATTTCTATATTTTAAATAGTGTATGGTATATTTATAGTTTCATGTCTAGAAATTGGTGTTTCACTAATTTTGTATTCTTTTTAACCCCTTTGTGGGTAATTGTAATGGCCATTTAGCTTTGTATTTGTATTATCCTCGTGACGTAATTTATTAATACAACCTCCAATCCGTTTGGGGGAAAAAAAAAACTTATCATGTTCCTTTTTTTTCTTCTTCTTTTTCCTATGAGCAGGTCTTCAAAAAAGAAACTAGGACAAAGCCCAAAGATAAACAGAGACAAACAAAGTCCATATAAAGGTGGGAGCTTCATTGCATAAAATTAACACCATTACAATCAGTTAACACTTTTAATTACTAAGAAAATAAAACTCCAAATTAAAGAAAAGAAATTGACAAAATGGTTTATTATGATTGATCTTTTGGATCTGATAGCAGCTCCATCATCATAACCTGTATTTCACTAGGGTTTTTCTTGGTGATGACTTGCTGGTCTGCAGTTGAGCTGAAAGATAATTGCTCTAAATTGGGAAGGAACAAGTTTGCAAAATCAAGATGGGCAGGGTGAGCTATGTACTCTGCAACACCCTCCACACTCTCAAAGGTTGTTTCAAACACATGAGTGTACCCTTCCAGCTGCTTCTCAATGCTCAATTCATGTCCCCTGATTAATCACAAAACATCAATTCATACATAATTAACTAGTTAATTATGAAAATTGACCACAAATATGCATCATATTCAGAACCAGGAAAGCCAAAGTGACCCCAAAAAATAAGAAAAAATTAGCAGAGAGAAAAAAAGAAAAGAAAAACAGAAAACAGAGGACTCTGTTTTACCAGTGGAAGGACTTCATGGGGTCAATGAGATTGACTAGGTTGGCATAGCCTTGGATCAGTTGGTCAATCTGGCTCTCTGAGGTTCCTTCTTTGAATTTTACTAGCAAAACATTCTTAACACCTCCCTTTGCTTCCTCTTCCATCTCTGTGTCTGTGAACTGTGATCTGCCTTCTCCTATTTTTAAACTCAGAGTCCTCTTTGTCTCCTATCCGAACCCGCTAATCTAATAATTTAATTATTGACTAACGGGCTTGCAGAGGTCATATTTTTTAATCTTCATTTCCTCAAGTGTGCTGTCGTTTTGTGTTTGTTGGGCCATACCATCGAGGGGTTTGACCTTGGGATGAAAAACACTAGTCAGGCCGCGCTATTTTAAATAATAAATAAATAATCCGAGTTTAGCCGCACGGCTATACTATTTTAAATATAAAAAACCCCACGTATAACCTCGCGGCTATACTATTTATAATGTAAAAAACCCCGCCTATCGCCAGGCTCCCAAGTGTCATCACCGGTATAGCCGTGCGACTATACTCTTTTTTATTAAAAAAAAACCCCATAGTAAAGCCGCGCGGCTCTACTAGTTTAAATGATAACAAAAACCCGGAGTATATATTTATAGAAAAAAGGACCGGCGTGTCAAAATAAGTATAGCTGGGCGGCAGTACTATTTTTTAAAAATAAATTACCTTAGTAATGCAGCGAGGCTGTACTATTTTTTTCAAAATTAAAAATGCCCTAGTATAGCCTCGGCTATACTATTTATAGAAAAAAAAAAAAAGTATTATGAAACTATTTTTAAACTCAGAGTCCTGGTATAATATAACTATTTGTCTCCTCCCCAAATTTTTTTTATTTTTTCATTTTTGGGTCTGCTTGTATAATATATATGAACCCACTAATCCAATAATTTAAGTATTGAATAATGGGTTTGCAGAGGTCATATTTTTTATACAAATTTATAAATAAACCCAATCCTAGACATGTATTTATAAAAAAACCCAAGCACTATTTAAACATAGAAACACACCCAAAATCAACCCCAAAGTCAACTTTTTGGGTGTGTTTATAAATGGGTTTTGAGTGTGTATAATGATGGGTTTTGGGTGTGTTTATAAAGTGTTTTGGGTGTTGGGTTTTTTTATAATTTCAACCTCCATTTTGGGTGTTTTAGTGAAACTCCCTATTTTTTAATCCTCATTTCTTCAATATCGCTTGTATAAATAATAAAAAATTTAATCACTGATTTGTACCTAAATTAATTCATACCAACCTGTGTGCTGTAGTTTTGTGTTTGTTGGGCCACACATCGAGAGGTTTGAGCTTGGGCTAAGCTATTGACCTTTTTTTTTTTGGGTAAAACCAAGCTATTGACTTTAAAAACAATAGAGTTTGTTTATGAAATGAAATTTTGGGTGTGGAAAAGCTACTGCTTCAGAACTACATGACTTAGAAGATATAAGGGTAAGAGAGAAACTCAAGTAATTGGTGAATAAACTTTACCATTTGTAAAAGAAATGGGTCAAATGCACACCGACTATGGCGTTTGACCTTCTATTTAATGAATCAAGATTTCATCCAAAAAAAAAACTTCATCTTCCTTTGCCAAAATTCGATTAGGTACAACAAACTTAGCACTTTTAGACCACACGACAATCTTAGGTGGTGAAGTTGCACGAGATACATCCATTCCCAATTCAGATTGTAGTTATCTTTAACACTCAAAATGCATGTATCTTATGACACTTCACTGTAGAATGTAATTACATGTAACATTCTCAAATGCATATATCTCGTGACACTTCACCGCATAAGAATGACATGTACTCCATTTATTCAGTCATCTTCGTCTACCTAATTACTACAATGTGGACAATTGGAATATGGAAGTATATAATTGAATGGATCCGGATCCTCTGCTCTGATTTTCTCAGTCATGATATGCTTTACTTTTGTTCTCCATACGCCTAGGGGTGGTTGCGGTTCGGTAATCGCGAATTTTTACTCAAACTGCAAACCGACCGACTATTTGCGGTTTGGTGATTTTTGAAACCGCAAACCGATCGCGTTTTGCGGTTTAAAACCGCAAGTTCTCAAGCATTCATAAAAATATAAATTCACAACCTCAATTTCTCAAATATATATAAATTCATAATCTCCTCAACTTCTCAAGCATTCACAACCTAAGAAAATTAAAGTTACAATTCCAAGCATTCCAATTAAGGTCAAACTTCTCAAGCATTCCAATTCCAAATTCTTTAAAGTTACAAACCAAAAGGAAAATGCAAAGCAAAATGAATTAAAGTTACAACTAAAAAGAAAAATCCAATTCAAAGTTAGTTAAAGTTACAAACTAAAAGGAAAATGAATGCACCAATGTTACAAACTCAAGTGTTGGTGGTGAGTGGATTTGAAAAACCCCGTTGTGTTGTTTGAGCACCAATATTATTTACAAATAAAACAACATAGTTTAGTACATTTTATTATAAGAAGAAGCATAAATAAACTAATTACTTACAAGTTGTCATATGTTTCATTTCCTTGTAGAGTTCAACCTCATCATCCGTGCGGCTATACTTTGCGGTTTGCGGTAACCGCAAGTTTTGAAAATCAAATACCACAACCGCAACCGCAAATGCGGTTCGGTTCTTAATACCGCAAATGCGGTTCGGTTTACCGCGATTGTGGTTTCATTGCGGTAAATTATCGGTTGGTTTTTTCGGTTTTTCGGTTTTTCGGTTTAAAATGCCACCCCTATGATACGCCACCTCATTAAATGAATGAAGAGGATCCAGATCCATAAATGAATGAAGAGGTTTGACTCATAACCATGAATACACTGTTTCTTCACCAAATATTAACCAAGGCATTCAATGACTAATTACTAACCTCGGAAAAACTTTGACAAACTTTGACGAGTTATGGTCAATGTTTTTACTTACCGAAGAAGTAAAACCAAACCTCCCATGAGTCACTATATAAAGAAACCAATTGTAACACTTCTGTATAACAAAGAAAAAAAGCTTCAAAGAAATTGACAAAAATGGGTTCTTCTTTCTGTAGCATAACCTCAATCTCCATAGCTTGCATTGTGCTAATGTCCTTCTTGGCTATGGCTCCCTCCAATGCATTTGATCTAAACTCTATTTGCTCTAAAACCTTGAACACTTCTTTTTGTTCACAGGTCCTGAGTTCGGATCCCCGCGTGACCAAGTCACTTCTTCACAACCTTGTCTATGTCACTGTAGATTTGGCACAATCCAATGCCAGTCACTAGAGACCACCTAGTCCAGTGGCAAAAACTTACGGACAATCCTCAGTTGAGGGCAAGGTACACATCTTGTTCCAGCAATTACAATGATGCCATTGCTGATTTCCAGCAAGCCAGGCAAAGTGCAGGGCTTGGTGTCTATAGTGGTGTGGTGTAAGAGATGCAGCATCTGGTGCCTTGGGAGAATTCAATGGGTGTGCAGAGAACTTCAGGCAGCCACCAGCTGAACCATCAACACTCTGGCAAGATACTCGGGATTTGTTAGATCTTTATGGTTTCATTAATCTCTCGTATGCTGTTTCAACCATACTAATGTGCTTGACAGTTTCTATAGATTGGAGATTTTAGCAACAAAATATAAATTGACATCAACCTCAATACAGAGTTCAAACAGTCAAATGCAATGTGAAAATTTGAGACGCAAGCAATGACTTGGAACAACATTAGCTCATCTCTCATTATTGAATTTTACAGAGTGTTTGTAAATCAGAGGAACAGAGCCAAATCAAACTCTTACAGAGAAAATTAAGTTCCGTTCAGAGCAATAGCATGACATATGACACCCTTGATAGGCCTTCCAATTTAGACACGAACCGTAGTTGGTTTGTAATCGAACACGATGACTTTCTCCACATGGGAAAGGAACAAATTTGCAAATTCAACATGGGCAGGATGAGCTACATACTCCGCCACACCCTCCATACTCTCAAAGGTAGACTCGAAGATATGGGTGAAACCTTGATGCAGGTTCTCGATGCTCACGTCCTTTCCCCTGATTACAAAACATTAACGAACAATTAAAAAGTTATGCAGACCACATATCCTAATGCTTGAGTCACAAAAATTAACTGCAACTTATCTAACTGTTGAGAAAACTTGGTGATAGGTTTAAGTGCAGGGGCACTATCTGGGAAAATTCCATGGCCACACATGAACAAAAACTACAAAGTCGTGTCTAATAATCTATGAAATGCTAAAGAAGTTGTTCAGGTTAAAAGATTGGCATTTCAGTTAGATGCTCAGGTCTTGGGTCATAATCCTATATGTTCTTGGGATGATACAAGGAACCAGAGTGATATGCCAAACATGAAAATAGTGAACCTGAGTGATAAGAAGATGGTCTAGCATTTTGAGTTCCGGGAAAAATAACCAAAATTTGCCCATCTAATACAAATAGCCCTTTTTTTTAAAGACAAAAACTGCAACTTTAACCAATATTTGATGATTGAACCCCTTTCCAACATCAGATTTTGAACAAAAGTTGCAATCTTTGAAAAATGGGTGCTAAGTTTTCCAAAAATCTAGCCTTTTGAGGACCCATCTGACTCCCACACTGAATCAGGAAACGCAAAGTGACACCAAAAATATAAGCTAAAAACTCTGTTTTACAATGAAAGATGATACTGGACACAAATTAGGTGAATACAGGACAAGATATGTGTATTTGGCTAGAACATAACTTCCCAAGTTAACAAATTGCGGTTAAAGAAAGGTACGAAAATGCATCAAGTCTTTAAATTCAATCTAAGAATTTGAAATATGAATTACCAAGAAGATCTGAGAATTGAACTCAATATAAAACAGAGATTAGTGTGAGGAAAAATGGAAGAGGTACCAGTGGAAGGACTTCATGGGTTCAACGAGATCGACAAGTTTTGCATAGCTTTTGGTGAGTTCCTCAATCTGATTCTCTGAGATTCCTTCTTTGAACTTTACTAACAATACATGCTTCACCACTCCCTTCGCTTCCTCCATCTTTCTCTCTCTCTTCCGTCTTCTGAATCTTCTCCTTTTTCTAATGTTTCTCGCTCCGCAGTCCACTCCACACCTACTTACTCAGTGAAAAAGAAAAAAACGTGCCAACCATTTTCTTTTTTATTTATTTATAATAAATTATAGGATATTTTCATAATCGGATAATGCAGCCACAAAAACTGCGCGGAAAATACTTATCTCGTTTCTTAAAAGTAAGAACTCCTCCTTTCCTACCTTGGCAAAAGGAGCCTAGACTCCAAAAATAACCTCCACTCAAGGAAAAATTGTCATGGCAAGAAGTGAGCCATGAAATTAGGCAAGCCCAAAGGCAAGACTTGCCTGAGCTGCTTGGGCAAGTTGACGTCAGCACTAATTTAAATACCAAAAGATTTAAAATTTTTGAAATAAATACCAAAAATTCATATTTTTTTTTATAAATACCTAGCCATGTTCTTTACTTCCCACACCAAAATTCATACAATTTTTTCTTCATATATCTCATGTGAATAGTGGTTATCTTTAGCTTTAGAGTGTCATAGCAATGGGTGGGAATGCATCAAACAAATTGCTATGGCAGTCACTATTTACAGGAATAGTGTCTGCCCTTACTCTTTGTCATGGCACAACGGGTGGAAGAGCTCTTACAGTTTGATATGTGTGTAGAGATTTCTCTTCCTGTGGTTTTTATGAATTATTTTTTAGATATTTTCGTATATGTCAAATTATGATTTTCATGAAATATGAATGCCTCCGTCCATAAAAAGAAGAGGAAAGCAATGGTAAAAGAATAAATACATAAATAAACGCTCTTAAGTTACAAACATTTGTTTAACTTATATTATTTATTAAATTATATATTTATTTTGTTTCTATTGAAACCATTCCTTCAATAGTGAAAGACAAATAAGAGAGAACCTATTCCTACTATTATTTAACTTTAAGTGCACCCACTAAATTACTCTTAACACAACCAATGAGTACCAACAATTATCTCAAATTTTTAATAGAATAATTTCAACGAAGTACGATTATTATAAAAAATTAATTATAATGCATGATTTCAATACGAATATTTCAAATTTAAGGATTTTATTCAAATGTTTAATAGTTAAATTACTTTTTCATACAAACGATATTTTACTTTAATTTAATCTAAATTATAGGGAGGGGGATTCGAATTCGAATGCAAAGTGGAGATCACACCCTCTTTAGCCCACTTAGCTAAATTCGTGTCTACTAATAGTAAAATTACTTGAACTTGTATGAAAAAGGAAAAGAAGAAAGAAATTATCATTAATTTTTCAAAATGGACTTCAAATGATAGAGTAATTGTAACTAGTACTTTAAAAGCACAAAGATCATAATTTATGGTTCTTCCAACATAAATTTTTTTATATTGATTTGGAAAATCTCTTTTCTTAAATACTTACATCAAATTAAAAAGGCTCACATATTGTTTTTTTTTTTTAATATACAAGCGACATGTATAAGAGTATCAAACATAGGACTTCGAGTACATAGGTAAACGTTCAAGGTGAGATCCACTACAATAAAAAAGTGGCAACAGTCACCATTATTTGGTGATATTTAATGACTAATGCTGGGGTGACTAAATGCCTTTTCTGATGACTTGATTGCTGCCGCTGTTTTTTTTAGTGGAGATTACCTTCATAATGTAGAAAAACATGCCTCAAACCCCAACCCAAAAAGTACATAACAGAAAGAAGGTAAATAAATAGAATAAAACTCAAAATAGTGCAATATAGTACTGTTTTATTGCAAACTGATGGGGTCACATTACCAACACAACCCACGACTTACACACTATCAAAGTGTAGTTTCCTACACTATACAAATTGGTAGCTTTTTATCCATAATCCCATGCACTTTATATCCATTATATATTTAGTTCATACATAATATGGCTGGGAGACTAATTAATCCCTTAATTAAGTAGTAATTAACCAAATCAAGCGGCAGATGGTGCACTCCTTTGGTCAACAGCATCAGTCTCCGATAATACATCAATAAAGGGTGGTCCAACCTTTACATGCTCGTCTGCCTTCACCGCAATTTCATCATCATCATCATTATTCTTAATGTAATCCAGTGACGGGTCCTCATAAATATCCCACCACTTCTTCACCAGCATCTTTATGTCTTCTCTCTCCATATACTCTTCCTCTCCTGTGTACCTCCATGGCTTTGATCCCTGCACCAACATATTATAGTATGTGCAACGTTCTCTTGTCAGATAAATATTTATATATCGCCAGACAGTCTACTTAGAGAACATTTTTTGTATATATATAGATGAGATGTGTTTTGATTATCACATACCGCAGCACAGTAATGAACAACCTTCACTTGGTTAATGTCCACATTTTCAGGGTGGCGCCACAAGAGAGCCAATACAAGATTGTATGCAGGTGGGATAGGCTTGTATACATCCTTGAAGAACATGTTCAAAAAGTCCTGCACATCATCAAAATTAATTTTCAAAAATCCCTAGGTGAGTTTTAAGGATGAAATCAACAAAGAAAATACAAGCAGAGGATCGTATTGGATTATAATTACCTGCTCGGCAAATGAGGAAGGAGGGGTGACTTTGACGGTCTCTAAGAGATCATAGTAAGTCGGAAGACGAGGCTCATAGACAAACATGCCAGCATTGAAGTAAGGTGGTGGTGGTGAGCCCAAGTCGGCTGGCCATTGAACCTTCTCAGGGCACTGCTGGCAGTATCCAATCTTATACTGAGGAGTCTTACTCCATGTCTTCTCACAAAAGCAATCCATCACAGCATAAAAATAACCCTCGGGCATGTCGAAAAGGTGATCGATATTATCAAACACTTGTATGTCTCCATCCAAGTATATCATCTTCTCGTACTCCACAAACTACAAATGTATACACATACTCGAATTCATTCATTTACATATATGGTACACAGTTAACTTGCATGATTGAAATGCACTCATGACTGGTAAATCAATCAATTAAGGGAAATTCTTCTCTTGCCAAATAGAGTAACATGTTTTATTTATTTAATAACAGTGCTATCGATGTACATGAGATTTGAACCCAAAATACAAAGTGCAAACCGGGTGTTACTAAACCAAATGATCATGCATAATAATTTGACAAGTTATTTTGAAAAAGTGTTGATCCCTTTCAATAATCATGCAAAAATTTGTTCATATGTATGGTTTAAATCGGTGATCCGATATGTTATGTCATAAATATAAATCGGATGTTACTACACCAAATGATCATGCATAATGGTGTGATAAGTTATGTTGACAAAGTGTCTAGGTGGGACCCAAAAAAAGTGTCGGTTGGTTTTGAACAATAAATTATGCGAAATTTAATTTTGTTAATATGCATGGTTTAAGTGGGTGGTCCGGTATGTTATGTTCTGAAGTGTAGACCAAATGTTATTAAACTAAATCAACATGCGTAATAGTGCGATAAGTTATGTTAATGACTGTAGGTTTGAATAATGAACTATGCGAAATTTTAAATCGGCAGACCGACATAAGATATAATATTTAACACTAAACAAAACAATAACACACAAGGTTTATTAGTTTGGTACCTCCCAAATACGAAGCTTTGAGTAGTTGATGACATAATAAGCCATGGCAAATTGGGTTTGGTTTTCAGGAGGGTAGACAGGCTCAATCTGGCGCACAATGCATCCTTGAGATTCAAGAATCTGGAGGTGCTCCTCAGGAACATCAGGCAGGACGGCCACCACAAGCGGGTATGCAGATTTGGTCTTCCTAAGGCCCTTGGCCAGGCCAACCACACCTTTCCAATAGTCTCCATTTCCAGCCAAGAAGGTCACATAGGCCCTCAGTGGTCCTTTTGTCTCTGCAGGCGACATATCTGTGGATAAAAAAGAAAGAAAAAAAAACACAGAACAAAGCAGAAAATTATTTGAGAGGAGGGTTTTGGAAAGCAGAAGATAAAGAAAATTCGATGCTGAAGATTTATTGAGGAAATTGAAGAAGTAGAGATGAGTTTATATAGAGGCATGAATGTTTGATGCGGTGGCATTTGATATGGGAAAATGCCAAGTCTGGAAAAAGCTTGAGTCAAGTGTACATGATTCTGTGTAACCTTTTTTATTTATCAGCATGTACGTGGCAACAAAATAAAGAGATTGGACTGTTTGCATGAGGCTCTCAACTTTTCCTGTTTCAGCACATCACTCACTCATATTTAATAATTATTTGATTTTTTCTAATATTTGATCATATATATGTGCTGAAAGTTAGGGTTTGATACTAAATAATATTTTCCTTAATAAACAGCAGAAATTCTTATTTAAGGATGCTTACCATATGTCATAATTTTCTTTAATTTGAAGCTATGGCGTTGGTTCTAGCCGTTGAGGCTTTTGTATACGTACTGTGTTTATGACGTAATTTAATTTCCCTAACGTTTCACCAGAAAAAAAAAAAAAAAAAAATTCCCTCTTATTTTACAATTTTTTTTCTTTGAGGAGAAGTTAATACTCATTAGGAAATCTTTGTTTTTCTATCCTCGATCAACTTTAGGATCCTGAGTGACTAGGTTTTAGAGATTTTCTGATCATTTCGGGAATTAATTCCATAAGTAAAGATCAGAAATCAATTTCAATTCTTAGTTGAAGCTTAAAAAAGATACAAGTTCTCAGATTCAATCGGTTTAATGTTTTTTCCTTTTCCATTTAGGTACCAACAATAATGTTTTACCTTAATTGAGTAAGATTCTTCTAGATAGCAAACATATTGCGGTTCTAACTTTTGACTACACCCCGTATGAGATTTATCTTTAATCAACTTATTTTTAATTAAAAACCAGTAAGACAAAAATAAATTGGGTTTTATGCTTAAAATTAATGGTCTAAATGAAAAATATACTATCCAAAAATCATTCTTTTTTAGTTAAGATAGGTTGAGTTCCCCGGAGATGGAGGATTATTTATTTATTTATTTATATTTATTTTTTTGTGACGAATTTCACATTCTCATTTTATCTATTTACACTTTTCCATCAAATTTTTGTGTTAAAGTAATTGAACACACAAAATGAGAATCAAAGACTAAACACAATGAAATCAAGGCAAAACGGATTAAAGAGGAGTGTGAAAATCACTTTTTGTTTTTTTCCATGCAAAAAGAGTCAGTTTTCAAACAATTTTTAAAAAAGAGTCAATATTTTTTAGGGAGTTTCACTAAAACACCCAAAATGAGAGCTAAAATTATAAAAAAACCCAACACCCAAAACACTTTATAAACACACCCAAAACCCATCATTATACACACTCAAAACTCATTTATAAACACACCCAAAAAATATACAATTGTTGATTTTGGGGTTGATTTTGAGTGTGTTTATATGTTTAAATAGTGTTTGGGTTTTTTTATAAATACATGTCTAGGATTGGGTTTATTTATAAATTTGTATATTTGTTAATAATACTTTTCACTTTGAGCCATAATAGGGATAGTTCAAGCACAAACCAATTTACAACTTAATACGGGACAAAAGCAAAAGAAATTCTCAAAGTATATTTTGTATACTTCAATGTAGATTTAAAGTATTAAGAGTTCGTTTGGAATTGATTTTGGGAGGGCCAGAATCACTTATGGGGAAAAGCACATCCCACATGCTTCTCAATATAATTACTTTAAGCGATTTTAAGCGATTGGTCTATTCAGAATCACTCTCAAACGAACTCTCAATAACATTCTACTTCTCTTCCACCAAAAGCTCCTCCATCAAACTTAGGGGAAGACATATTGCTTTGGTAAAGAATCAAATTTGACTTGTACACAAACAAGCAAAAGAAGATCAAAGCAAAAGGCTAAGATATACTCAGAATAATATCCTTTTGTTTTTGTTTTTGACGAACAAAATGTTCCACACGGTTGAAACACCCATAGTGGAGAGATCGATCAGTTTGCCATTGCAAAGATAGTATATACTATGCACAAAAGATGAAGATCCCTTGCTATTGTCGTTTACTACAGCTCATTACATTACTAGTTGTTGTGGAGCACGTCGTTTTGATTTGAACCAAACACGTATTGAAATCAGCACACACTTTTTTTAACATATTGGTTGGACCAAATTAAGGTAAAGTCATGAGCAAACGATAACATTTAATAAAGGGTTTAGTTTAGTAGCTAACTAACTTAAACAGATAATTTTAAATAATAAACAATAATGCTATAGTTGGTTGTGATCTTATTAATTGATTGGAGTTGGCACAATGTAGAGGCTCGGGATTCACGTAAAACACTTGTGCAATAAAATATATCGTTTTCTTTTTTCTATAAATTAAAAGAAGAAAAAACGTCACATTCGTTATTTATTCTTTTGGTTTGGTTCCTGGACATGTATAGACTCTATACTTGTATCCTGCGAACAAGTGTACATGGTGACACAAAATCATGGGAATCTGCCTGAATAATTCTGCATGCTTTATTTATTTATTTTTTCTGAGATTTGGAAGCTGTACAAAGTAGAAGGAGAAGAGAAAGCAATAACATGATGTAGTTGCTTTAGCCTTTAAACGAATGAGGTCATTGCAGCTGAAAACTATATATCTCATACGTGGAGAATCATAAAAGTGTGTTTTCTTTGGGTTGGTTGAGGATAATATATAAATTCCAAAATTTCTGTGCTTTTTTTAAGTGTAGTAAAAAAGGATTTACTTGCATTGCTTGGAACGTTGATAAAATGTATACAAATTTTTGTGGGAAGAACTTTCCAATTAATCAGAAGATATGGTTTAAACAAATTTACCTTTTTCTTTTTGACATTACTTCCAGTAAATTAGGTGACATATTATTGGAGATGCAATCAAAGTGGTAAGAAAACTATGGGGTGTGATCTTTCGAGATTACTTAGTCTCGATTTTTCCTTATTATAAAACACTTACCAAAAGGAAAGAAAAAAGAACATTAACTAAAGCGAAAGCTGTAGGGTGTTAGTAGAATTCGCACAGGTGCTCTCAAGTGATCCTGGGTATAATCTCCCATGATAAACATGTGTGTGAGTTTTTCCCGTCTCTATTTTTAACTTTGGCTACAAAAACAAACTAAAAAAGCGAAAATTTAAGTAATAATTTTACGAAAACATGAAAAAAAACATAAATTTGCACCAGCCGGGAATTGAACCCGGGTCTGTACCGTGGCAGGGTACTATTCTACCACTAGACCACTGGTGCTTTCTTTAATGTTGGCGTATTATTATGTTTTGATAAGTGGCTGAAAAATGATTTAAATAAATTGTAAAAAATGATAAAAAGTTACAAATGCACCAGCCGGGAATCGAACCCGGGTCTGTACCGTGGCAGGGTACTATTCTACCACTAGACCACTGGTGCTGCTTGCAAGTCACTGTCAGTATTATGGTATTTAATGTTTGTTTTCTCTTTTTTAGTTTTTTTTTTTTTTTTTTAATGAAACGGTTTATTAGTTACCAGAAAACAAGAGCTAGATTTAGTAGTTTCTGAAACCGAGGGAAGATAACAAGAAAGGGTTGAAAGAAGTTACGGATTGGGCAACAAAAGAGGACAATGAGAGTACACAAATGAAGGTTAAGATTAAATACAGGATTGGTGGTAATTTCGTGCGAGATGATAGGTGATAAGCATAAACAATATTAAGAGCATCTCAAATGAGCTTGTTAAAAGCATGTTATAGCAAAATAAATAATGGCGGAACATTCCACTCTCTTAGTATGGGTGCACAAAACCAACTTATTATTAATTCATTTGTAATTTTTTTCACTTTTGTGAACGAGACCTTGATTTCGAATTCCACTCCACTTAGAGTTCATTTATGTTATTAGAAACGCCCCATGATTGAAGGGACTCGATCAACAATATGGGAACATGGTCCAATCTTCCCTTGTGGACCAATTTCTAAATAACATCTCAATAAAAAGTCTTCAATTGGGATGATGGGCCAGATGGGCCTATAGACCCATTTAAGCCCAAAAAAGGATCTTGATAAACTTCAATGGGCCTAATTTCAAACCCATGAAATTCAACATAATCACATTATCCATGCAAGTACTCTCTCTCCAAATCACTGCCTTATCTAAGCGAGACCAAAAGCGTTCAATTTCCTCAAAAGCATTGTGAGCGATAGAGAAGCAGAGACATGGCGTCTTTGGCTCAACAATTCACAGGCTTGAGATGCCCGCCACTCTCAACCTCGCGGCTCTCAAAGCCATCAGTCTTTCCAAAGCAAAACAAAATGCCGGGTTTGCTTCCCATAGTCTCAGCTGTGGCCATTTCCAACGCACAGACCAAAGAGCGCCTCAAGCTCAAAGAACTCTTCGAAGATGCCCACGAACGGTGTCGTACTGCCCCCATGGAAGGCGTCTCTTTCAATCTCGACTCTTTTTACTCCGCTCTGGAGAAGTATGACTTCAATTCTGAGATTGGAACTAAGGTCTGTCTTGTAAATTTTGTTTCTTTTTCATTTTCCTTTGAATTTAAAGTGAAAATGGGTTAATGGGTATGAGCTCAAATGAAGAAATTACATGTCTGTATGTCAAATTTGACACTGGGTCTGTTGGTGGTTATGTAAGTTTATTTATTATATGGATTTGAGATTTTTTTTTCACTTAGCCTATACCTTGGCAACGTGAGCTTGAGTGAGTAACCGTTACTGCATAGTCTTTGTGATTCCATGGAAGATTAATTTGTTAACTTCGTGCATCTGAATTTCTTTGTCTTTATCAGGTAAAGGGTACAGTTTTCAATATAGATAACTATGGAGCATTAGTCGACATTACTGCAAAGTCTTCGGCGTACTTGCCTGTACAAGAGGCATGCATTCACAAAATAAAGAGTGTAGAAGAAGTAGGCATAGTTCCTGGAGTGAGAGAGGAGTTTGTGATTATTGGTGAAAATGAAGCTGACGATAGCTTGATTTTGAGTTTAAAGTCTATCCAGTATGACCTTGCATGGGAAAGATGTAGACAGCTCCAAGCTGAGGATGTTGTTGTCAAGGGTAAGGTGGGTATCTGCTTGTCTTGGTTCCTTCCCTGGAGTTCTT